AAATGTATGGATGAGAGGGATGAGGAGAAACACACAGCAATATTCCTTCTAGTAAAGCAGGTCTTTTACTAAAATAGAGCACTGCAATATTATAAAATTTATACACTCTCTTGTATTAAGAATTTAAACCATAGAATTACACAGTGCAATGGATTAAAAGACCTCATGTAACACAAATAGTATTTTAAAAAGATGTACAACCACTTTACAATAAACTATTTAGAGTAAAAAGAAAGTGTGTTTTGGCTTCCCTTTTAAACTAAGCATGTTGTATCAGGTCAAAGTTGTTTATTTATAGTATGTGTGTCTTAAAAGTGGAAATTTTTGGGATGGAGTTTTTGTTTCTAAATAATCAGTAGCTAGAAGACTAAATCTGTGGGCTAAGGAATATGGGAGCAGAATTATCACTGAGCAGGAACATTTTAATTTCTATTTGCAAAAGGAAGAAAGATATTTTTATAGAAAGATAACAATACTAATGATTGAAAAGTTTTCTACCAGGAGACCTGTACAACTAGGAAAGGAGCTTGTCATTAGAAAATTTAGAGTAAATAGTAGTATAATGCCTTCAGTATTTCTTTTAAATTAAATGTGGAAAGTGGACCTAAATTCTGCCCACATAGTTTAAGTAGGGTGGGAATTCAGTACAGTGGAAAGTTTTACACATTGTAGCCTAGTCTTCTTCCGCTCCAGAAAACAGACTTCTTGATTTAATAGCCTTTTATTTTTAATTTTCCAGTAACTTTGATCTTGAGGTAGAGATTACTGTAATATCACACCAAATTCCTTATTTAAATGTTGTATTGTTGTTGGCAATCAAAAAATCTTGAGTTCTCTTAGTTTTCTTTTGAATAAAGTAATAGAGCTTAGAATTGACCTCTATACTGCTTATTTTAAGTATTTCAAAAGGCAATTATGCTATAATAGCCACCATTCCATATATTGTAAATGAAAAGTTCACAGTTTCTGTGAATAAAATACATCCTTTTAGTGTTTCACTATTTGATTGTGAGTAGGAGAGCCTTGCATGCCCGTTTTCAGTTTGTGACCACCTTGAATTTCTTTTGGGATGCTGTACAATATGAAGAATGTGCTCTATGTATCCTTTGACTTAATCAAGTTCAAAACATGTTATTTAACCAAGCACTATAATAATTCTTTTTCCTATTACCTTACTAGAGCTCTCAGATTATTCTATCAATTTATGGAAGATTAACTCCAAACAAAACTCTGGGGCCAAGGAGAGGTGGTGCCTTACATAAGTGTAATGAAACCCTATAAATGTAGCATCGCATATTATAGCTATCTCTGTATCCTAAAAAGAAAAATAAAGTCAATGATGTTGTTAAAATAGATAAATTCTGTACTTACAATCCTTTTAAGACATTGAATTCTAGGTGTTGAATTCTGTGGTGCAAAACAGTATTCTATTTATGGTATAATAAATGCTAAGTAATGGAGATTAAGGCTTCCCTCAATCTATTTGCTCTGCTCCTTTATGTAAAGCCAAAGTTGCTGTTGTCCATCTTCCCTGCCACAACACAGTGCTGCCTCATATTCAGTTTGCTCCTCTATCAGGGCCTCCAAGTTCTTCTCTGCAAAGGTGCTCCCCAGCCAATCCATCTCAGCTTGCATGTTTGCTGGGATTGCTCCTTCCAGGTATAGAACTGCACATTGACCCTTAATAAATTTCATGAGATTCCTGCTGGCCCATCCTTTAGCCTGTCTAGGTCTATCTGAATGCCAGCCTTGCCTCCTGACTGGTTGTCTTTTGCATCCTCCAGGTCATTGTTGAAAATGGTAAACAGGAATAGCAATTGATGATAGCTGCTACATAAAGAGGAAGAAGGACAGAATCTTCCACCTTTCTTTAATCTTACCTTTTCAGCCCTCTTTTTATTTACACTTAGATAATAATGTAAAATGCAATCTCAACCTGCTTCTGTATGACTACCTGCTGTGGATTATTAGCATGTATATAAAGTCAGAATATCCTTCTATCTTCCTCTACTTTTCCTAGCTCTTGAATAAACAGCTTGAAAAGGTAAATGAGTATCATCAGGCTTTCTACACTCAGCTCTTGGTGAAATGTTAAAAAGAAACAAGATGCTTTTTATATGCTGAAGAGTATAAAGCATCGAGCAGTTGTGCAGAGCAGTGCTGGTATATGTTGAAATACATCTACACTCCACTTGCCTAGTGAAGACAGCGGGAAAGAATTGGACAACAGTTACGAAACAAGCATTCTGCAGCATTTCAAACTGCACAGTAGACGTATAACTATTACTGAATTTTAGAAACTATTTTTAGTAAAAGGTGATTAAAAGCTGTGACTTCAAAACTGTCGAGTGTATCTATGCAGCATTCATAACATAATCTGTCTACCCTGAACACTTCCTAAATATGAGTTCCTTGTATTTCAACAATGCTTAACATACATAAAATTATTTTCAAAGTTTTATCACCTCTCCCAAAAATACATGCATAGCCTTTAGAAATT